CTTTGACCCTTCACCAGAACCCAGCCAATGCCTGCATGGGAATTGTGAAGTCATTAGAAACAAAGATATAATTACCATCTAAAACAAGCATGAGGACAAGTTGTCAAACTTTGTGATCTACAAATGACCAAGAAGTTAAAAGCACTGAAGAGAATATTAAAAAGTGAAAGCCAAACTTGTCTGGCTTGTCCTTTACTTCAGTTTAATGAAGGCCTGGCTTGAAGCTCAGTGATGAAGAGGGAAGTGACATGCTGGGCTTGAGAGCATGTCTAAAATTGGGTCCCTCTTTCAGTGTAGACATGATTTCCATATGAAACATTTTCCAGAACTTTCATAATGTTGCAATGTAATCAGTGCTCCTTCCAAAAACATGTATTGAGCACCTATGGTGTCAGACATAGTACAAAGCTCAGGAGAGACAATAACAAGAAAATAGATCAATTCTAGGCCTTGGGGGATTTAACTTTTAATGGTAGGGACAACTAAATGAGCAATTATAATATAATGAGAGGTAAAATGACTTAACAAGAATCCAGTCTAATTAATAATATCTAGAAACCAGCCTGACTATGGACCACTGGTCAAGGATTTAGTAAGAACCAAGAATGAATACCATTTCTACTCCTGTTTTCCTCATCTAGTTTCTCACTACTTTGTAGCTAAACTCTTAAAACATATACCAAACAGCAGGTGCTTCTTCCCAGACCATTTTTATCATAACAGATTCCTGCTCAAAAAACCTTTTGGAGGGAACCAGCAGTTAGCGTAATGGCTATGTCACTGAACTCCCACGTAGTTGACCGCGGTTCGCGTCCTGGACCCGGTGGCTTAAACTCACGCCGGGCACGTGTGCGTGCATGCCCAAGATCCCGAGAAGAGAATGGAGGAGAAGGGATTGTGGCGTGACCATCCCCCCTGGGGGGTGATTTCTCGCTTTCTGTCTCTATGTCTCTCTCTGTCTGTCTGGCGAGTGCACGCGCCCTATAGTGAAAAATCTCTCAAAAAAAAAAAAACCTTTTGGAGAGCTGGGAAGGCTATATATAGGAAATACCATTGACAAGCTATCTTGAAGGGGAATAAGGTTAAAGCATGGCTGGAGGTGGGGGAATTTTGCCTCCCAGGAACATTTTACAATGTCTGGAAACATCAACAGGCACAATGTTTGTGGGAAGGACACTGCCTTCTGGTGAGCTCTTGGCATTTTCTGAATTCCTGCACTTGCCCCTGAAAGTATGGCAAGACTTGGATTATACTAGATGTGCTAGTCAAACAGAACCTGTGCATTTATTTAGTATTTACTATAGGAATTATCTCACATGATCAAAAAGGTAGAGACATTCCACAATAAGATGTGAGCAATTTGCAGAAACAACTAAAGGACTCGAAAGGAGGGAAATTGGTACATTCTAGTTTGGGACCTAAAAGGGACCTTCAGGAGCCACAAGCCTAAGCACCCTCAGGAAACTGCTGGTATGAGTCCAGAATTCAGAAGTTAAAGAACTTGGAGTCCGTCTGGCTGGAGAGGTACAGGAGCCTGGAGCCACCAGAAACAAACACAGCCAAGAACCCAGTAGAGGAGCAGAGATGGAGCAGGGAGTTGTGTAGCAGCAGAACACACAACCTGCTTTGGAAGGAAAGAAGTAGCGAGAGAGAAAGAGAGAAGAGAGAGAGACAGAGAGAGGAAACAGAACCCCACTTCCTCTGCTTGTTCCTCCCAGCTGATTGGATGAAACCTGCCCACAATGGAGGCAGTTCTTCCTCACTCCAACCACTGACTCACATGCCAGTCTTATCTGGCACATTCTCACAGACACACTGAGAAACAACATTTCTCCACTTGTTCAGGCATCCTTCCCAGTCACATTTGCACCCAAAATTGACCATCACACTATATACCCCAGAACCAAGGTTTCTTGTCCCTCCATGATGTCTACACTCACAGATCAAATGAATATCTAAACTACAGAGATCTTGCATTTCAGTTACAAGACATAATAGTATCCCCAGTTAACTGATAATATCCAAGGATTGAATTATGACGTTAAGAAACCAAAGGACACAATTTTTTAAAGAGATTTTTGTCTTAGGGCACATATGCTCACTGGAGAGAGAAAGAGACAATGAGTGGGGAAGTGAGAAATCATCCCCCTGGAGAGATGGCCATGTTGCAATCCTTTCTCCTCCATTCTCCTCCCAGGATCTTGGACACGCACACACATGTGCTTGGCATGAGTTTCAACCCACCAGGTTTGGGACTCGAACCACAGTCAGCTATGTAGGAGTCCAGTAATATAACCACTATGTCATCTGTTGGCCCCAAGGACACAAATTTTAAACAGATGAATTTGTCCTAAGTAGGAAGTCAATAACCACAATTTCAACAACTTTTCTATGCTTAATGTCAATTTTCCAACCTTAAATATAAACTGTTCATTCATTTGCTAATTACATCTCCTTACTATCTCATTCTATGCTTAATGTCAATTTCCAATCTTAAATATAAACTGTTCGTTCATTTGCTAATTACATCTCCTTACTATCTCTCTGGTCTACCAGTCTGTGACATCCTCAAGAACCATCTTTTGTTGATCTTTTAAACAAAGCACCTGGTATAAAGTCTGGTAAACAATAGGTACTCAATAAAATGGTAAGTGAATTCTAGCTCATTGTCTTACGAAGCCATTTCTGAGAATCGGAGGCCATGGCAATTTGTCTTTTCTTTGAAGTGTCAGGTCACTAATCTATTGTATTCATGTATTTCATAAATTGTCTTACAACTTCTAAATGCATTCTAAAAGCTCATCTGAATATCCTCTGTTCACAGAAAAGTTATAAATGCCGTTATTGCCTCATCTAGTCTACAAATTACTTTTTTAAACTATCATATTCAACCCAGTAAACATTTATTGAATACTTACTCTGCTGAGTTTTGGAATAGGCATTGATAATAAAACAGTGACTAGGTTCTGTCTTCAAGGAGTTCATGATCCGAGAGAGTAAATAATGCATATGTGTTAGGGGGAGTTTTCTTCTGAGGGTGGTATAAAGACTTCATAGGAAAAGTGACATCCGAGGTGAATTAGAGTTTACCCAGGCAGTAAGATTAGAAGGGAAGGAATTAGTGAACATGAGAGAGACAGAGAGTGATCTGAAGTGCTGTAGTGTCTGGGTGACAGGAAGGGTATGTGCCCGGAGGAGAGGACAGGACAGTTGAAGTAAGCTGCTAGTGTGTGAGGGGATAAATCACACTAGGACTTGTGCTTTATTCTGTAGGTAATGAGGGGTTTCAGAGAAATGTGAAGATAAATGCAGTCCAGTTGCAGACTGGAGAGCATGGTTTTGGGTGTGGGAGCCAGAAGCAGAGGCCAGGAGGAAGTTGCTACAGAGCCTAGATGAGACATAGTGAAGACTGAAACTAAGGTTCTCCAAGAGTCCCTATCCTTTTCTGTTTGCTTCAGTTGCCTTTTTCTCCACTTCTGCACTTCCATATTCTCCAAAACTGGCAGGGGGTCATGGGCTCCAACAGTGTAGGAGGTAACTGTGGATGTGTAGACATCAACATTTGTAAACCTGATATTTACTAGTGGAGATTCTTAGGTGTGCCTTGTCCCCCACTCAAGGCTAAATATAATATCATCTATGTCCTTCTACCACCCTCCTGATTCAGCCTCCAGCACAGTGGTCTGCATCATGTCTGAATCAGTGAAGATTTGTGAATTCAGACATATTGATTAATCCATACATTTTTGCCTAAAATATATACAACTGTGGTGGGCTCAGTATCATACGAACATTTTGTTCACTGTCGACGTGCTTTTATACACACAAACACTAAACTGAAACCACATATCATCAACAATTCTACTCTAACATATGACATATCATGAATCATAGCAGGCTCTAATGGGTCTTAATCTTTACCTTGGTCCTGATTCAACTCTATTGTCCAGCAGTGAGTTTTTAGTTTATTTGTTCAAGATTCAGAAGATGCTCTGGCTCCCCTTTACCTATACAAGTGCTCCTGTGATCCCTTAGGATATGAAATAGGTAACAGGTGAGTTGCTTATCAAACATGGCTGACAACCACAGGATGTTTTCTTCCTTTCTTAAATTCAGTGAGAAGAGAATTCCCTGTATACTAACGGGACTGGTAATCAGGAATTTCAAAGATGACAATCAAATTGAAAATAATTGACTCTCTTTGAGAATTTAGGAAGCACATTGAGGCCCTCCAGAGCCCTCATTAAAAGCCCATTTTTTATTGTTCTGCAGGAGGGTGTGGCTCACCTGGCGCCACCTCAACCCTGCAACTGAAAGCTCTGTGAACAGGAACATTTTTTTGGCACTGGACAAAATGGGCGAAGAGCGTACATCTTGTATTTATTCCTTTAACCCACATTTATTGAGTGACACTGTGACTTAAGCACCAAAATGCAAGCTAAAGGAATAATGTAGAGAACTCTGGAATCCCCTCTGCAACCAGAATTATGTTGCTTAACCTTTTTGAACTTCAGTTACATTTCTGTAAAGTGGGGCAATAAAACCCCTCTCTGAGTCTTGATTAGGATCAATGAAGCATGTTGCTGAGCACAGCACCAACCTCACAGACGTTCACGTAAAGTGAGATCTCCTCTCCTTCCTTGCAGGAATTCTAAGAGTCATGAGTAAATAGGAACATCAGATAGAGAATCATCTGAAAGTAGAGTATAATGTTGCATTAATTTACAGCAAACTGCTCAGCAACAAACAAGAGAGCCTGCAGCTGTCTAGAGAGGAATTGCTCAAATACACAAGGTAATTTTTCAAAAATCCATTCTGAACAAGTAGTGACATAAACTCATCTTTAGCTGAGCGTTAGCTTTGTGGCACTTTAAAAAACCTGTAATATTAAAAGTAAATTAAATAGTGCATATGACTAGGCATTTAAGGTATTTAGGGAGCAATTTCACAGTTGGCGACTCGAGCCTTCCTGTCTGATGAAAATTCACATTTCCCCAGGGGTGAAGAAGCCAAGTCTCAGGAACTGGGGAGGAGATGAAGACACAGGCAGTGTGACCTAATTTGGAAAGGTGAGAACATGGGCTGGGGGCTCGGACATGCACCTTCCTTTGGAGACCACTACATGAAGACGGATGTTATTTTCCGAGCCTTTATTCAACCTAGCAAATACTTTCGGTTATAGAATCTGGGTCAGAAATGTGGGTTAGCCTCTCTGGCCCTCTGAATTCTGTAGGGTAACTCAGATCTGAAGGTGCAGGGGGTCACATGGCTCCCAAAAGGCAAGGAGCCTCCCGCTTATCTCCCCACCCCTTCTGTGTTACAATTCCTGTCCCCACCATTACTACCTCTGCCCATCCCCTCCCCCTGCTGTCATTTGTGGTCATTAATGTACATGTGGTATTCTTTGTAATGGGTGTCAGAAGATGGAGACTCTCATTCCCCATGGCAGGAGGGAAGCAGGGAGCTACCTCTCTAGCAGCAGGGAAGTATTCAGGCTCAGCCATCTACACGCTACTGTCTGTCAATTCATAGTATGGGACTTGGCAGAAACAGCCCAGGGCCCTTCTGCGTTATCAGTGGGAGACTGGGCATTGAACTTGGTTCTCATCCAAGTAACAGAGTCAAGCTGGGTTATTGGTCAGCCATTCTGAGGACAAAGCCAGAGACCCAAAGTCTGGGCAGAGTAGATCAGAATGGGACTGGCCTAGAGCCAGGGAGGATAGAACCAAACCAGGCAGCAAAGCCAAGTTAGCCATGAGAAGGGAGCCAAGTCATACAAGAGATACCAGCTCAGAGCAGCTTTGCCAAACCTCGCGGAATTGCCATTGACCCAGCTGCAAGGGCTTCCACTCTAGTGGTATCTTAAAGGCACCAACCAGTTTTGGGCATGTCCGCTGAAGGCTAGACAGGCAATGTGTGCCTGTGGTTCAGAGCAATCCCATCTGACCCTTAGGAACAAGCTTAACAGGCTTACAGTGCTTAGGGCTTCTGCATTCCCAATGCATTTGGCATTCGCTGTAATATTTGAGGCCTTATTAAAACCCACTGTTACTCTCTATTTTACAGCTGTAAGATAATGAAGATGAAAGACTTGCCTAGGGTCACTCTGGTTTTACATTGACTTACTCCTTTCCCCATCCTCAATCTATAATTTATATTGAATTTGTAACCTTGGTTGTATCTATACTTTATTCTAACTCCATGGAAAACTAAAATGATTCATTACCCCTGGTTCACAGAGGGAAGAACAGTCTTTCTGGGTAGTGATCTAATGATTCGCCATAGCCCTGTTCTGATCTCACCTGTCCCACTCAGACCAGACTAGGGAGCCCACCGTGTCTTTGCAGTTAGGTAAGTAGCCTGTTTCGGTCACTTACCATCTGTTGGAACTATGACTTAGCTGCAGGTGGTGACCCTCACCTTTCCTGTCCATAGATCCAAATCTCATGTTTTTTATTCCATATGACCATGCTTTAGCATAGCTGTTCATTCCCTGCTTAATATACCTGGCTCTTAGAGCCAGGATGGCATGAGTTTCAATAGCTCTGCCATTACTGGATAATCACCTGTATGAAATCTCAACAAATACAGATAGCAATCAATCTGCAGTTAATTAATATAAAGCAACCAATCCCATTAAATCCAAATGTTGCAATGGTCATGGTTGGTTGGTTAAATATCAGTGCCATTTATAAGTACATCTTTCTTGGGATTGTCCTGAATTAGAAAATATTCTTTCATTAACCAGCTGGTATTTAACAGAAATTAATTGTTTGCTATGCATCATCAATTCAGTCCCTTGGACGTAAGACCTAGAGCTGCCTTGGAAGAGCTGTGTGCATGGAGGAGCTTTCTGGGAAGTTCTTTGAGACACTCTACATTCTCTCACCTTATTCTCTGATTCTCACCTCACTACCATATGCCCCTACCTAGCATTTTAATGAGGCTTTGTCTAATTGTGCTGTAAATTTGCAAGCTGTTAATTTCTGTCTTGGACTTGGCCCATATCCCCAAATAGTTTATTATTTGCTAAAGCTGCACTGGGTTGGAGTAATAGCATAGTGAGAGAATCAGAAGAGAGAGAGAAGGAAGGAACTGAAGGAACTGGTTCCTTTCGTGCTTCTGAATGAGGTCATTCATCTTGTAGGGTTAGGATCTTCATTTATAGGAGGATAATAAAAACATTTTTCACCAGTGTGCCCTACCTGTGTTAGGATTCTTTTACATGACAGAAATGATAGAAACCCACTCAAAAACGAATTGACACAAATGGGGCCGGGGATGGTGCAGCAGTGATGCAGTTGGATCCACATGGGTTCATGTCCTGCGACCTCTCCACATGCCACGTATACGTACACATGCTCGTGATTGGGTCAGCTGACACTGGACATATCCGGCCGTCTGAAAAGTCATGACGTGTTTTTCTATGCAAAAATGCATCGTGACTTTTCCCATGGCCCTGTAGATTGCAGGATGAGGACCCTGTTGATCGTGACTGTCTCTCTTTTTCCCAGTCTCTCTCTCTCATGGAAGATATAAATAAACTTTTAAAAATGTAAGTAAATAAATACATTTATTGGCTCATATCAACGAGTCAAGGAAATTAAAGCATGGCTGGATCCAAGGAGCTAAGCAATATGATCAGGACTCCTCTTTCATCTCTGTATTTGCTTCCTAGGGCTGCGGCAACAAAACACCACAAGCGTGGCACTGTAGAGCAGCAGAATGGCGCCTTAGAACAATAGGGTGTTTTGCACAACGATGGGATGTACTTAATACCACTGAAATATAAATTAGAAATTTAGGGGAAAAGACACTTAGATGTCACCACAGGTGACCTGGGGTAATCAGGTATGTATAGATCTATGAGGTATTCTGAGGATGAGTTAAATGTTAAAGAAAGACCTAAAGCAGATTTCAAAGTTCCACCTCCACTCCACCCTGGCTGAGTTCCATTTTGTAGCCCTTCCATTCCCATTAAGGTGTCAGAGCAGATTCATCGATGGAAATACCACCTTCAAATCCAGACTTGACAGGACGAACTTGAGATCACACAGATTACTGAGTCTGTCCAGCAGTTTCTCCTCTCTCTCTTATTTCTGACATGTAAGTAAGGGGAAAACTATTATTCCCTTTTACTCAAAGGACAAGGTCTAAGGCTTTGTACTAAAGAAATTCTGCCCTCTGGGGTAGGAAAATTAAAGTAGATTTCATCCTCTCCAGGGTATGATCTTTGAGGCAAAGGCTAGCAATGTTCTCTGGCACCTTGCACCTCGAAAGGCTTTCCTAAATGCTTGCTTATCTCAGAAGATTTATCTAGACAGACATGCTTGCTGTCAATCCATTCATTTGATTAGTACATAGTACCTCTGGCCTCTCGGTTCCACTGGGCAGAATTTGAGAATCCTCTGAGGGGTCCCCAAGTGCCTGGCCCTGTTTATGCATCACTTAACAACCTGTTTTTCCAGAATCTTGACAGTGTGAATGATGGTCTAGACTTAGGCACCACACAAACACTTAGGGACACTGTTCCCAGCAGGAACCAAACACCCAGCAGGTGCATTTCATTCACCAGTTCCCAAGCCAGATGGTGTCAAACTGTGGTGCCCAAGACACCTGGAGAGACTGAGGCGCAGTCTCATGAATCAGAGATGAAGGCCTAAAAGCAAGAGAAGGAAAAGAGGATGAGGGATCAGAGAAGAAATAATCCATAATAAAGATAATTAATAAAGTCAAGGGAGTGTAGGAAGGGGAAACAGCCAGTGGTGATGTAGGGAATGGAGTGACCAGCTAGTCCTGGTTTTCTCAGGACTTTCCCAGATTTGAAACTGAAAGTCCCATGTCCTGAAACCCCCTTAGTCCTGGGAATCCTGGAATGGTTGGTCACCCTAAGTAGACACAAGGTGGCCTTTTACGATGCAGGGCAGGTGGCGATGAGCCTGAAAGGCACTCTGACATCACTTTGGAACTAAGCTCAGTTAAAATTTGAAAACTACCACTTTGACTCTGATCCTGGTCCCAGGAAGCAGATCCCATCGTGCCGCAGACGTGACCCAGACTGCTCCACTGTCAAAGGGTACCACTTGTGATATCACTCTGCGGATTTCTCTGAGGTCCCTTTAAAAGGCTACCTACATCTGTTCTCAACACATCAAGTCCCCAGCGCACTCAGAGGGGTGACGAACATATTTTGCTGACCAGCTGCACTAGTCTTTTTTTACAGCTTGTCTATCTAGCTTTTTCACCTGTCAACTGTATAAAAATCTTCTTGACAAAAGGATGCTTCTAAGTGAGTGAGGCCACGAGGATAAGCTAGAAGCAAGTCACAAAATAACAGTAGGAGTCAGATTTGGAATCTCTCCCTGGAGTCAGCACAAGCACACCTGCAAGGGAGAGCTTGGCCTTCAGATTTTCTCAGGCTCAACCACAACCCCGGGACGTTTTCCACTCTGCCCACAGCATGGATATAGCTTTGTACCTTCTTGTTTATTGTTCCCTTCTGTTTTGAGCCTCAGATTCACAGAACCGGGCATCTCATGTTACTACTGTGCTTTCCAACCTCTCTGCTGCCACAGGAGGAGGCTCCAGGACCTTTCCCACTCCTCTCTTCCCACTGGTCCTTGGCCTTGGCTTTCTGGCCCCAGCCCCAGCAGGACTCAGCTCAGATTACACAAAGGGTGTCTATTTTGCCAACAAAGAGACTCTCCTGTGGTTTCCCGTGCTGTTTGCTCTTGATCATCTTGCAAAAGTGGAATGGACCATAGGATCAAGATGTTCTCTTATGAGCAAAGGCAACACATAGATACTAGTTTTTAGGTAATGTCCATTTCTCAATCCCAGATACATTCACACATTAACTTATTTTTAAATATTTACTGAGAAATTAATATATGCCAGGCACTAATGCATACACTTGGGATACTACAGAAAGCAAGATAGCCAAGGCCTTTGCTCACTGTTTGTCCTGGAGAGGAAGAGAAAGATAATAAATAATGATGTAAACAAATGCACATCACATTTCAGAAAGCAATAATCACAGTGGAAACAATTTTAAATGGGTGTGGACTTCCTGAGGAGAAGATCTGGTGAACTTTACCTTCATGGACCTTCCCACTGAAAGAGTTGAAGTCCAAGGTCTCCCCGAAGAGCCCTGCACTGCCTCCTCCTGGTCAAAGTCAGCAGAATAGCTGTGTTCTGGGGTTGCTTCAGTTTCTCCACTAGTCACTGTTTCCATTCTGCCTCTGTCCTTCTTCCCTTTGCCATCTGTGTAACATCCAGTCTCAAACTCTTCTGTGGGGTGGGGAATTAGGAACTGAGCTTCTCTTGGTGAAGTCCCTTTTTGAGGTGCTTTCTCTCAAAACAGTAGACCTTCTCTGGTAGTTAAGAGTGTAGGCTTTGTTGTCAGCCAGCCTGAGTTCCCTCCCATGTCTCTTGATAATCATCCTTCAAAACACAGCTCAAGCACCTCCTTCTTGGAAAGCCTTTCCTGGTCCCCTGCAAAATGTGTCTTCAGCAGTATAAACCTCTAAATGCCATGTGAGTATGGTCAAGTCTTATTAATTTAATACTGAGCACAGCAGATGAGGCACAGATGGGATTCAATCAACATTCATTGAATGCATGCATGAATAAATGAATGAGTCTGGAGCTGCAGGCCAGCCTGGATCTGATAAATTCAGTCCCCCAGCTCATTGCATACCCAGAAGTCTACTGTGAAAAGCAAAGTAAACTTGTTTTCCTATAAATTGTACATTGCACAATCAAAAAGTTGGAAAGGCATCTCTTGGGTGGTGCAGATTGGCACTCCCAGCGGCAAGAGGCACAACTGCTTTCATCAAAGCCACATAAACACCCCTCAGTGGACTTCTTTGAAGCATCTATTGATCTTTAAGAAAAGCATAATTTAACAGAAGTGCTGCTTCCAGCTTCTTGTCTCTTTCTCTGAATTCCCTCCATGTATTTCTAGCTGTTATGTGAAACTTAACTATGTATCATCCCCTATAATGGTGAACTCCCCAGTTCACCCGCTGGTTTGTTGGGGAAAGCTGTTTTCACAGCTACCTCTGTACGAGATATTAATCTCTGGAAGATTGAAATGAAAAGTCCTAGAAGCCACTCAAAACCACCAGCTGTGTTGGAGTAGAGGCACAATGAAGGTTAATCCCACCAGAGTCCCTACTCAAGGCCAAGGTCTTTACCATCTGCCTGCAGAACAGAGAAGGGGGTTTGAAAGGTGTTTGAGAAATAACAGAAAAGTCAGAGTCAACTTTGTGGCTAAATTTTTTCTGCTGTGGATATTGAAAAATCATCTCAGTCTCTGAGATCAAAGATTGATCACAGTAGCCTTTCAGAAACCTCCCCTCCTCTATCGTGGCCTGTGAACTCTAAGAGAAGGGTATCATCAAGCCTCCAGGATGCTGAAATGTAACTCCCGTGCTCTTCATGGCAAGGGGAATTGATTTTTGACTTTACTCCCATTCTGGTTAATAGCAAGATGGCTCTAATATGACAGTAAGGGTACTTGAATTGCTGACGGGCTGGCTAAGTTAATGACCATAAGAGTTTACATTTTCAGTGGAGTCCGTACTGTGGTTATGAGGTTCAGGTAGGAAATTATGTGTGGACATTTTGTGAGTTGTAACGTAGTGTATAAATCAGAGAATTTATTACTACGGGCCACTCAGAAATCACTAATATTTTAAAAAACTATGCAGAATAACATTCAATATCCCTTTAATGTCTCATAAAGTGTCTTAGAGATTCCCAGTGCTCTAGCAGTATTGCTTTGAATTTTGCTTCTTACAGTCACAGTCAGAGTTCTTCAACTCCTAAATCTGGGGGACTAAAGCATTTGGGGGAATTTAACAGCTTAGAAATGGTAATAGTAGATCTCACCACAAGATGGCACTATTGGTGATATTTCTTTGCCTTGATTAAAACAGACCTGACATTTGAGGGGTCCGGGTCAAGAGTACACAAGGAGGCCTGCATACCACATGTTTAATTATTTAAAAGTTGAATCAATCTCATACACAAAGTAAATAAAATATGTTTTCTGTCTTGGAAAACAGTTTTTCTAAAGCACTGGAAGGTCAGGTGCAAATTTAGAATTCTGAGACTCCTCACAGTTGCAGGCAAGGCAGGGTGGCTCAGGGAGGAACAGCCTACAGCCTCCCACCATCAGCCAGAGCTGCACCTTGAGAGCTTCCAAACCCCATCCACATCCCTGCACTCTTCAGCTTGGCCTTGAAGTCCAAGGTCTCCCCGAAGAGCCCTGCACTGCCTCCTCCTGGTCAAAGTCAGCAGAATAGCTGTGTTCTGGGGTTGCTTCAGTTTCTCCACTAGTCACTGTTTCCATTCTGCCTCTGTCCTTCCTCCCTTTGCCATCCGTGTAACCCCCAGTCTCAAACTCTTCTGTGGGGTGGGGAATTAGGAACTGAGCTTCTCTTGGTGAAGTCCCTTTTTGAGGTGCTTTCTCTCAAAACAGTAGACCTTCTCTGGTAGTTAAGAGTGTAGGCTTTGTTGTCAGCCAGCCTGAGTTCCCTCCCATGTCTCTTGATAATCATTCTTCAAAACACAGCTCAAGCACCTCCTTCTTGGAAAGCCTTTCCTGGTCCCCTGCAAAATGTGTCTTCAGCAGTATAAACCTCTAAATGCCATGTGAGTATGGTCAAGTCTTATTAATTTAATACTGAGCACAGCAGATGAGGCACAGATGGGATTCAATCAACATTCATTGAATGCATGCATGAATAAATGAATGAGTCTGGAGCTGCAGGCCAGCCTGGATCTGATAAATTCAGTCCCCCAGCTCATTGCATACCCAGAAGTCTACTGTGAAAAGCAAAGTAAACTTGTTTTCCTATAAATTGTACATTGCACAATCAAAAAGTTGGAAAGGCATCTCTTGGGTGGTGCAGATTGGCACTCCCAGCGGCAAGAGGCACAACTGCTTTCATCAAAGCCACATAAACACCCCTCAGTGGACTTCTTTGAAGCATCTATTGATCTTTAAGAAAAGCATAATTTAACAGAAGTGCTGCTTCCAGCTTCTTGTCTCTTTCTCTGAATTCCCTCCATGTATTTCTAGCTGTTATGTGAAACTTAACTATGTATCATCCCCTATAATGGTGAACTCCCCAGTTCACCCGCTGGTTTGTTGGGGAAAGCTGTTTTCACAGCTACCTCTGTACGAGATATTAATCTCTGGAAGATTGAAATGAAAAGTCCTAGAAGCCACTCAAAACCACCAGCTGTGTTGGAGTAGAGGCACAATGAAGGTTAATCCCACCAGAGTCCCTACTCAAGGCCAAGGTCTTTACCATCTGCCTGCAGAACAGAGAAGGGGGTTTGAAAGGTGTTTGAGAAATAACAGAAAAGTCAGAGTCAACTTTGTGGCTAAATGCTTTCTGCTGTGGATATTGAAAAATCATCTCAGTCTCTGAGATCAAAGGATTGATCACAGTAGCCTTTCAGAAACCTCCCCTCCTCTATCGTGGCCTGTGAACTCTAAGAGAAGGGTATCATCAAGCCTCCAGGATGCTGAAATGTAACTCCCGTGCTCTTCATGGCAAGGGGAATTGATTTTTGACTTTACTCCCATTCTGGTTAATAGCAAGATGGCTCTAATATGACAGTAAGGGTACTTGAATTGCTGACGGGCTGGCTAAGTTAATGACCATAAGAGTTTACATTTTCAGTGGAGTCCGTACTGTGGTTATGAGGTTCAGGTAGGAAATTATGTGTGGACATTTTGTGAGTTGTAACGTAGTGTATAAATCAGAGAATTTATTACTACGGGCCACTCAGAAATCACTAATATTTTAAAAAACTATGCAGAATAACATTCAATATCCCTTTAATGTCTCATAAAGTGTCTTAGAGATTCCCAGTGCTCTAGCAGTATTGCTTTGAATTTTGCTTCTTACAGTCACAGTCAGAGTTCTTCAACTCCTAAATCTGGGGGACTAAAGCATTTGGGGGAATTTAACAGCTTAGAAATGGTAATAGTAGATCTCACCACAAGATGGCACTATTGGTGATATTTCTTTGCCTTGATTAAAACAGACCTGACATTTGAGGGGTCCGGGTCAAGAGTACACAAGGAGGCCTGCATACCACATGTTTAATTATTTAAAAGTTGAATCAATCTCATACACAAAGTAAATAAAATATGTTTTCTGTCTTGGAAAACAGTTCTTCTAAAGCACTGGAAGGTCAGGTGCAAATTTAGAATTCTGAGACTCCTCACAGTTGCAGGCAAGGCAGGGTGGCTCAGGGAGGAACAGCCTACAGCCTCCCACCATCAGCCAGAGCTGCACCTTGAGAGCTTCCAAACCCCATCCACATCCCTGCACTCTTCAGCTTGGCCACCCTCAGGAGCCACATCAGAGGACACTTGTTCTGAGGGAGGTGGCTCAAGATTGCTTCATGGACTTACGACCCACAGCATGGCATAGAAAAGGAACCAATCGTGGCCAGCAGGTGGTGTGGTGGCCCATATGGCTGACTGTGGTTTGAGTCTCTCTCTCTGACTCTGTTCCTCTCTGGTCAAATTAAAATAAATAAATGAATAAATAAAGTTAAATAAAAGAATTTTTAAAAGAAAAGAAACCAGTCAACTGTTTTGTAAAGGATAGGGTAGCTGTGACTTCAGGCTTTGTGGGCAATAGGGTCTCTGTCACAACTGTCCAACTGGGCCAGCAGATCATGGAATCAGCCATAGACAATACGCTGTTAATACTCAATGTATGAAAGCTGGCTGCAAGTCAGATCTGGTCCGAAGGCCATAGTTTGCAGATATTTGGCCTAGAAGCTGGGGCAAGAGTTGCCAAATAAAATGCAAGACACCAAGTAAAACTTGAAGCCCAATAAACTAAATAATTTTTTAGCACATGTTCCAAATGTTACATGGGCATAGTTACAACAAAAATTGAGCAATCATTTATCTGCAATTCAAATTTAACTATGCCTCATGTATGCTTATTTGCTAAATCTGTCTCTCACAGCTGGGGCAGGAACTCTGGCTAGGAGTGTCCCAGTGGCTCCGTGGACAACTTACCACATGGGGAGGCAAAAGTGGAGTTTCAAAAGCAAAGGCCCCCCAGTCAGGACTTCACTTTCTCAGGCCTCAGGGAGTTCTGGTTTTTAAATGACTGCTTTTATGCTCTCAATGAATAAATAGAGTGTGTATGTTTTGCAATTTAAATAGCTAATTGTGTATAGTTTGGGTGTTTATTTATTCAACAAATATTTATCAAGTTCCTGCCATGTGCTAGATTCCAAGGGATACAGAATGATACTGAAGAAAGAAAGAAGGCATGATCTCTCTCTTCATGAGGCTTACATAGCACACCAATTCAGAGTCGCATGTAAGTAATACTGACAAACAGGAAGGGTCATGAGGATAAGAACAATAACAGGAGAGACATACACTGGGAAGCTAGGGAAGGCATGCCTAGGGATTGACATTGTGGCCAAAATACAAAGGAGAGCTAGGAGTTGACCTGAGGGAGAGGATTCCAGGTAGAAGGACGTTCCTGAGTGAAGACCCTGAGCCAGGGCCATAGGGAAGGAGACAAAGGGGCCAGAAGGCAGGGGGGCAGGTGTGGCCAGTCTTGTGAGTATCTTGCCATTCATTTGAAGTGCAGCACAAAGCCCCTGTGGGCTTTTAAACCGAGAGGAAGTCTGATTCAGTTTTCATTTTTTGAAAAGTTCATACTCGCTGATTCTTCTTGCAGAGTGGATGGAGTGAAAGGAAACAGAAGGGGGGGGGGGCCCCTCCTCTATCGTGGCCTGTGAACTCTAAGAGAAGGGTATCATCAAGCCTCCAGGATGCTGAAATGTAACTCCCGTGCTCTTCATGGCAAGGGGAATTGATTTTTGACTTTACTCCCATTCTGGTTAATAGCAAGATGGCTCTAATATGACAGTAAGGGTACTTGAATTGCTGACGGGCTGGCTAAGTTAATGACCATAAGAGTTTACATTTTCAGTGGAGTCCGTACTGTGGTTATGAGGTTCAGGTAGGAAATTATGTGTGGACATTTTGTGAGTTGTAACGTAGTGTATAAATCAGAGAATTTATTACTACGGGCCACTCAGAAATCACTAATATTTTAAAAAACTATGCAGAATAACATTCAATATCCCTTTAATGTCTCATAAAGTGTCTTAGAGATTCCTAGTGCTCTAGCAGTATTGCTTTGAATTTTGCTTCTTACAGTCACAGTCAGAGTTCTTCAACTCCTAAATCTGGGGGACTAAAGCATTTGGGGGAATTTAACAGCTTAGAAATGGTAATAGTAGATCTCACCACAAGATGGCACTATTGGTGATATTTCTTTGCCTTGATTAAAACAGACCTGACATTTGAGGGGTCCGGGTCAAGAGTACACAAGGAGGCCTGCATACCACATGTTTAATTATTTAAAAGTTGAATCAATCTCATACACAAAGTAAATAAAATATGTTTTCTGTCTTGGAAAACAGTTCTTCTAAAGCACTGGAAGGTCAGGTGCAAATTTAGAATTCTGAGACTCCTCACAGTTGCAGGCAAGGCAGGGTGGCTCAGGGAGGAACAGCCTACAGCCTCCCACCATCAGCCAGAGCTGCACCTTGAGAGCTTCCAAACCCCATCCACATCCCTGCACTCTTCAGCTTGGCCACCCTCAGGAGCCACATCAGAGGACACTTGTTCTGAGGGAGGTGGCTCAAGATTGCTTCAGGCACTGGTGACTCACAGCATGGCATAGAAAAGGAACCAATCGTGGCCAGCAGGTGGTGTGGTGGCCCATATGGCTGACTGTGGTTTGAGTCTCTCTCTCTGACCCTGTTATGTGAAACTTAACTATGTATCATCCCCTATAATGGTGAACTCCCCAGTTCACCCGCTGGTTTGTTGGGGAAAGCTGTTTTCACAGCTACCTCTGTACGAGATATTAATCTCTGGAAGATTGAAATGAAAAGTCCTAGAAGCCACTCAAAACCACCAGCTGTGTTGGAGTAGAGGCACAATGAAGGTTAATCCCACCAGAGTCCCTACTCAAGGCCAAGGTCTTTACCATCTGCCTGCAGAACAGAGAAGGGGGTTTGAAAGGTGTTTGAGAAATAACAGAAAAGTCAGAGTCAACTTTGTGGCTAAATGCTTTCTGCTGTGGATATTGAAAAATCATCTCAGTCTCTGAGATCAAAGGATTGATCACAGTAGCCTTTCAGAAACCTCCCCTCCTCTATCGTGGCCTGTGAACTCTAAGAGAAGGGTATCATCAAGCCTCCAGGATGCTGAAATGTAACTCCCGTGCTCTTCATGGCAAGGGGAATTGATTTTTGACTTTACTCCCATTCTGGTTAATAGCAAGATGGCTCTAATATGACAGTAAGGGTACTTGAATTGCTGACGGGCTGGCTAAGTTAATGACCATAAGAGTTTACATTTTCAGTGGAGTCCGTACTGTGGTTATGAGGTTCAGGTAGGAAATTATGTGTGGACATTTTGTGAGTTGTAACGTAGTGTATAAATCAGAGAATTTATTACTACGGGCCACTCAGAAATCACTAATATTTTAAAAAACTATGCAGAATAACATTCAATATCCCTTTAATGTCTCATAAAGTGTCTTAGAGATTCCTAGTGCTCTAGCAGTATTGCTTTGAATTTTGCTTCTTACAGTCACAGTCAGAGTTCTTCAACTCCTAAATCTGGGGGACTAAAGCATTTGGGGGAATTTAACAGCTTAGAAATGGTAATAGTAGATCTCACCACAAGATGGCACTATTGGTGATATTTCTTTGCCTTGATTAAAACAGACCTGACATTTGAGGGGTCCGGGTCAAGAGTACACAAGGAGGCCTGCATACCACATGTTTAATTATTTAAAAGTTGAATCAATCTCATACACAAAGTAAATAAAATATGTTTTCTGTCTTGGAAAACAGTTTTTCTAAAGCACTGGAAGGTCAGGTGCAAATTTAGAATTCTGAGACTCCTCACAGTTGCAGGCAAGGCAGGGTGGCTCAGGGAGGAACAGCCTACAGCCTCCCACCATCAGCCAGAGCTGCACCTTGAGAGCTTCCAAACCCCATCCACATCCCTGCACTCTTCAGCTTGGCCACCCTCAGGAGCCACATCAGAGGACACTTGTTCTGAGGGAGGTGGCTCAAGATTGCTTCATGGACTTACGACCCACAGCATGGCATAGAAAAGGAACCAATCGTGGCCAGCAGGTGGTGTGGTGGCCCATATGGCTGACTGTGGTTTGAGTCTCTCTCTCTGACTCTGTTCCTCTCTGGTCAAATTAAAATAAATAAATGAATAAATAAAGTTAAATAAAAGAATTTTTAAAAGAAAAGAAACCAGTCAACTGTTTTGTAAAGGATAGGGTAGCTGTGACTTCAGGCTTTGTGGGCAATATGGTCTCTGTCACAACTGTCCAACTGGGCCAGCAGATCATGGAATCAGCCATAGACAATACGCTGTTAATACTCAATGTATGAAAGCTGGCTGCAAGTCAGATCTGGTCCGAAGGCCATAGTTTGCAGATATTTGGCCTAGAAGCTGGGGCAAGAGTTGCCAAATAAAATGCAAGACACCAAGTAAAACTTGAAGCCCAATAAACTAAATAATTTTTTAGCACATGTTCCAAATGTTACATGGGCATAGTTACAACAAAAATTGAGCAATCATTTATCTGCAATTCAAATTTAACTATGCCTCATGTATGCTTATTTGCTAAATCTGTCTCTCACAGCTGGGGCAGGAACTCTGGCTAGGAGTGTCCCAGTGGCTCCGTGGACAACTTACCACATGGGGAGGCAAAAGTGGAGTTTCAAAAGCAAAGGCCCCCCAGTCAGGACTTCACTTTCTCAGGCCTCAGGGAGTTCTGGTTTTTAAATGACTGCTTTTATGCTCTCAATGAATAAATAGAGTGTGTATGTTTTGCAATTTAAATAGCTAATTGTGTATAGTTTGGGTGTTTATTTATTCAACAAATATTTATCAAGTTCCTGCCATGTGCTAGATTCCAAGGGATACAGAATGATACTGAAGAAAGAAAGAAGGCATGATCTCTCTCTTCATGAGGCTTACATAGCACACCAATTCAGAGTCGCATGTAAGTAATACTGACAAACAGGAAGGGTCATGAGGATAAGAACAATAACAGGAGAGACATACACTGGGAAGCTAGGGAAGGCATGCCTAGGGATTGACATTGTGGCCAAAATACAAAGGAGAGCTAGGAGTTGACCTGAGGGAGAGGATTCCAGGTAGAAGGACGTTCCTGAGTGAAGACCCTGAGCCAGGGCCATAGGGAAGGAGACAAAGGGGCCAGAAGGCAGGGGGGCAGGTGTGGCCAGTCTTGTGAGTATCTTGCCATTCATTTGAAGTGCAGCACAAAGCCCCTGTGGGCTTTTAAACCGAGAGGAAGTCTGATTCAGTTTTCATTTTTTGAAAAGTTCTTACTCGCTGATTCTTCTTGCAGAGTGGATGGAGTGAAAGGAAACAGAAGGGGGGGGGCTTGGTGAGGAGGTCACGCAGTCATCCAGGCAAGAGTGGGTGGTAAGCACACAGTGCTGAGAAGTCTGCACTGGTGCTGGATGGCTGGGGGTTAGAGAGAGGATGTCAACACCGACTCCTGGGTTTCTGGCTTTGCTGAGATGAGGGGAGAGGCAGGCGTGTGGAGAAGGCGATAGCTCCATTGTTCACATGTAAAGTTGGAGATATTTTCGAGATGGCCACATGCGAGCCAGTAGATATCCTTACCTGCAACTCAGAAAACAGGCCGGGGCTAGGGACCAGCAGTTAGTGAAATAGCTATGTCACTGAACTCCCTTGTAGTTGACCGTGGTTCCGTCCTGGATCCAGTGGCTTAAACTCACGCTGGGCACGTGTGCATGCGTGCCTAGGATCCCAAAAGGAGAATGGAGGAGAAGGGATTGCGGTGTGGCCATGCCCCCGGGGGGGAATTTCTCGCTTCCTGTTTCTCTGTCTCTCTCTGTCTTTCTGGCACGCGCACACGCCCTATAGCAAAAAAAAAAAAAAAAAAAGGCCAGGTCTAGAAGTGGAAGATTGAGGATGGTCAATGGCCCATGGAAGGCCTTTCTAGTCAGAGAGAAACTGGGTTCTTCTTGGTGAAAAGAGAAGAGAGTCTGGGATAAAACCTAAAGGCACCTCAATGTTTACAGAAGTCAGCAAAGGAGGAAAACAAGAAAGGGCTGTGCCATAGCAGCCAAGAGAAGGGAATGTGGGGAAAAAGTTCTGTTTCCATTGAGTCCTGAGTACATTGTTTTTCCCTCGAGAACTTGTGAGCCTCCTCCTCTTTGTAGCCTCCCTTACTTCCATATCTTTA